GCTTGTTACCCATACTACGAGCATTTGTGTAGAGGCATATGTCTGTCTGTCCATACCTTCTGAAGAAAGGGTGTCAAACCTGTCTGGCCCCAAGGGTTAGATGAGTGGTGTGGGGCTAGATATCTGAGCACTGCATGCAACATGAGTCCTGGACCTGCTGGAGCAGGCACCGCACGAGGTGCAGTCTAACTGGGGAGGTCACCGTGTGCAGTGTGGCTGCCGCTCCAATGAGACCATGCTGTGTACAGTGCAAGAATGGCAACAAAGAGTCCAATGACTTGGGGGGGGGAGGGAAATCACAGGTAAGTGGATAAAGTGGTCTGAATGGAACTCTGAAACAAAATTTGGCAGGTTTCAGCATAACTCCAGCTTTACGGAGATTATATTAGGAGGTGCAGACATCAACCCCCACAACTCACTCACCCTAAACAGTGCAATGCCTGTTTAAAAACTCTGTCTTTATAAAGAGATGACATGCAGGATGTGATAATGGTTTCAAAGGAGGGTACAATTCAAGACTTTAAACCACATTCATACCCCAGGAAGAGAAAGGATCCCAATCTGGGGGAACAAATAAGAGGCACTCTAAAAACTAGAAATCAGGATGGTGATGGGGACCCTCCCCCACAAATAATCAGAGTGAGATATGAAAAGAGTTGCCAACTAGTTTTAAGAAAAGAGAAACCAAAAGAAAAGAAGAGAGCCTGATGACTGAAATATTTCAAGGAAACTGTCCTAATTTGAGATAAAAAGGGCGCATTGCCACTTTTTGCAGTTGCATATGCCCCTGCATTTGCTTTGGTATGGGGCAAAATGCCCCACTTGGGGAAACTACTGTTTCTCCACTCCCAGTTCCCAGCAGACTGGAGGAGCTGGGGCAGAACTAGAGGAGGGGAGATTCTCTGGCTGGCAGCCAGATCACCTCTCAGGAGGACAGGGCTTTGTAAGAATGCTCCTGCGCCACGCACTACACCTTTTTTGCAGTAGTTTTTGTTTTGCTACCAGGGTTTCTAGATTTGCAAATTTGCTACCAGGGACATGTTTTAACATGCCAGGCAGGTGGTTTGTGGCACTGCAAAGTTTGTGGTGCACAAACTGCACATGCCTGCACGTCTGGGTCTGGCCAAAGGGTCTTCTTGCTGGATACATCTCTGGTTAGATTATTAAAAAATGCTTCCATTCAGGTTTTTTAGGAGCTATGCTGATATGAAGACTCTTGAACAGCTGAAGATCAGTTCCTCTCAAGTGAAGTCAATTAGCTAGACTCTACTAACAGTTCCTGGTGTTAAGTGCAACACTTGGTCCTGGAAAATGTGTCACAGGTTCAGAAGCAAAGTGGACAGACAATGTATTTCTCAATCAGAAAATGAACCTAAGCAGGTGCTATTAAAAATACTGCCTAGGTGTTTCTACAAGTTAATTAATTTGCCATAATTATGGCGCATTAAAATTTTGTACCTGTGCGCAGTTTTACACCTACTCCGGGGGTGGAGTGGTGCCTTAATTAGAGCAGCTCCGAGAGCCATTCTAATTAAAGTGCTGCTGCATCTCCTGTATCAGTGTTCCCGTGCTTAAAAATGGTGGCTCATTGAACCAGCTTTGGTTCAAGCTTCCCCACTACCATTTTTAAGTACAGGATGCTGATACATGAAATGCAGGAGGCTGCTGGCGCACAGCAATTGCCACATGCTAGCAGACTTGATTGATTGAGTCTGCTCCAATGAACTGGAATTCTAGCACTCTGGAGCAGCCTCCGCACTCGTGTACAGGTGGCCTAAAATAATAGGTACTAAATGCACCGTATGTGCTGCTACTGTACATTAGTATAGATGAACCCTTTTTATGCAACTCTTAATGCGCATCAGACTAATTCTCCTGAGCATTATCACGGTTTTTGCCAGGTATGCTAATGCATAGTAGAATTAGTCTAATGTGCATTAAGCATCTTGTGTAGACGCACCCCTTGAGTTGTATTCATATGAATTTTCCTGAGTATTCTGCAAATGAAGAACTGAGGAAAGGAACACACCAGGTTTTGATCCCACTGAATCAGAAATGGCTCTGACAGATCTGATGCATTCTTTTCTGAAAGCAAAATATAGGAAATTTGGCATCCGTGCCAAAAAAAGCCCTTCCATCCAAATACTGGAAATACAGTTGAGCCTTAACACCAATTTGTAAGAGATGGAGGGTTTCCTATACAAGTGGCCTGCTAAACTGTGCTAAATTCTTGCCAGACTAAAAGCCAACAAGTTGATATGACAGTGATGCACCATCACACAAGGAATACTTTTGTGGCATAAGAGAAACATCTTGCAACCCTTTCTTATTTTACTTAACATACTGCCACTGTATTTTCCATTCAGGCCTGCATTGCAATATTCTGGGGTGTGGGCCAGGTTACACTAGAAACTAGGCAAGTGGCTTTCAACTCCAACACAAAGTTTCATACGCATGTAATTTTCAGGGGACTTCAGCCTGTAGATCTGAAGTTTCCCTGGATGAGAACACTATGCTTGTTCAGATATGCATTACAAACTGGTGGGAGAAAACTGAGGATACCAATTTTCCTGATAACTGAAGGGCAATGGGGAATCTGTCCACCAACGAAGAGAAGCCTCTTTGAAGGAACCTCTCTTATGCACGTCTAATGCATCTGCTTGGATGATAAACTGACCTTAACCATCTCCTGAAAGGAGCAGAAGAGGAGTATCCTATAGGGAGTCATAAAGACATGTTTGTAGGATGGAATAAGCTGAAGGTAAACGTTCACTGAGGTCCTTTTTTGGGACTGGATTGACTGAAATGAGTTATTTCAGAAAAAAATCTGCACTGAAGCAGTAATGCCCTGGCCAAATAAGAATTCAGACGTGCTCCTATATATTCCACAGGCTGAGAGGAGGCAAGATGGATTTGTCCCTGCCTGTCTTAAGGCCCAGGATGACAAAGAACTCCGTAAGTTTTTGCATGTCCTTTACAACCTGGCAAGAAGGGTAACCCTGGATTAGCAAATGGTAAAGATGGATATACATGAAGACCCTGGCCTTATGAACAAATTGTTACTAATGAACCATTCAGCATTATTTTTAAACCAAAAAGAGAAAAGAAAAAGGCTGCAAAAAACCCCTGACTTGGTAGTGGTGGTCACTGAGCATGAAGTATAGGCAAGTGTCCTGAGAGTGGGATTTGAAAAATAAGCATCCTGTAAATCAATACTTGAGAAACAATATACATAATTTACAGAGAGTGACAGATTCCAGGGTTTCTGTCCAAAGCTTGATAAATTAACCCACTGCTTCCCAAACTTGTCCTCAGCATGACCCCATTTATGCAGCATGGGGTCTCCCCTGTGACCCCATCTGCTGATGTTGTGACCCCATTTGGGGTTGCAACCCATAGTTTGGGAACTGTGAAATTAACCTATGGTGACAAGGCATCAGATGTCCAAAATAGGATGCCACTTCTCTCTCTCTTTTTTTTTTTTAATGAGAAAATAATGGGAACAGAACTCTTGGCCACTGAAGTCTGGATACACCACCTCCATTGGACTTCTAATTCTAGTGATGAGTGACTGGAATTAACAGACAGGAACTGGACTGACCAAATCAGCAAAGTAGCCTCCATAATTCACTGGTCAGAAATAACTGCAGCCCCAGCTACTGCAAAATGGAGAAGATCTTAGATGTTGCTGTGGCTGGAGCAAGGGGTTTGACAAAATTCACCTGCAGGTTCTAGGCTACTTGTCTTGCCTGGCAAGGTCATATGACCCCAAGTGAAAAATGTTCTTTTTATTAAAACATCCTTGAAGATCTTAGTGGTCCTCAGGAGAAGGAATACCATATACCAGCATCTTTTCAAAGTATCAAAGGAACTCTCTCTTTGAGATAGTCAAGATTTTAGGTAAGGA